GGGGGCACAGCTGCGATAGAGTTAATGGGACGGAGGAAAGCGAAGGAAGCGAATCGTTTATAAGACGAGTCCAGAAAAACCCCAGTGAAGGAGGCGAAGAGGTGGAACGAGATTTAAAGTGTGAGACTCGACGTTAAAGGAGCCGAACGGCTTTATTTCCTCAAATGGAAACAACAAAGCAACCATGTCAAATTCACTACAACGAACATCCTGTTTCTTTTAATGTGCAACATCTGCACAGGAAGTCTTTATTTTTTACTGATTTCTAAAAGCCAAATAATGAAGTAACGCTTCTATAGTTTTGTTTTAACGTTTCACAAAGTGCCCTAAAAACAATCTGATATATAAAGTGTTTAAACTACGACTTGATGTAAACATACGGAACCCGTTGCGCCGTGAGGGCGCCGGAGCATCCGTCCCGTTGCCGTGGAAACGGGACGCTGCTTCCGACACCGACTTCATTCTGAAAGTTTAACCCAAGTCGCTAAACGGACGTTAGCGGCGCTCCGTTAGCCACCGCTAACGTCAGACGTCGTCGTTTCACGGTAAAAGTCCCGCTGACGGCGTATCCGGGACCCCAATTCTGTCCTTTCACAATAAGACACCCGCTTCTGCGCCTCCAAATAGAAAAATAAAAGCTGCGTTGAATTGTGGCTCTGAGGTTGTTTGCTTGTTTGTTTGTTTGTTTGTTTGTTGTGTAGCTGCCGCGGGCCGTCAGCACTCAGGCTCTGAGCAGCGCCGGACTCCTCCGAATGGTCAACAAGGCCGCCGAGGCCGTCAACAAGATGACCATCAAGATGAACGAGTCGGACGCCGTGAGTGGAGGAGGAGGAGGGAGAGGAGGGAGGAGGAGGAGGAGGAGGGAGGAGGAGGAGGAGGGAGGAGGGAGGAGGAGGAGGAGGAGGAGGGAGGAGGGGGAGGATCAGGGAGGGGGAGGAGGAGGAGGAGGAGGGGGAGGAGGGAGGGAGGAAGATGACAAGAGAATAAACAAGGAAAGTGCTGTTGTAGGAAACAGTGAACATTGAAAGAGGAGAAAATAAAATAAGGACGAAGAGAAGATGGGAAGGAAAGGACAAAGGAAACGTGAATGAAGGAAGCAGGAAAGAAGGCAATAAGGATAACATTAAAGGAAGGAAGCAAGAAGGGAATTCTGACATGAGGAAGCAGGATGAAGTGATGAAGGTGGAAGGAGAGGAGAGGAGGAGAGAAGGATGTCACATTAAGGCAGAAGGGAATAAAGGAAGCAGGGAGGAAGGAAGGAAAGAAGGAAGAAGATAGTGAGGAGGAAACAAGGAAGCCGGAGGGGAGGAATCCAGAAAGGAAATGAGGAAGCAGGAAGTTAAAGCGGGATGTGTCCTGTCTCCTTCCAGTGGTTCGAGGAGAAGCAGCAGCACTTTGACAACCTGGACGTCCAGCTGAGGAAACTTCACGCCAGCGTGGAGTCTCTGGTGTGTCACAGGAAGGGTGAGACGCACACGTATGACGTCGCTGCACATACATACAGCTGCTTAGATCTAGATCTATCTATATCTACATCTATATCCATGTGTATCTATAATGTCACGGTGTGTAAATGTAACTCGTAGAAGCACACAAGAGCTACAACATGAAGCATCCAATGACCCACAATGCATTGCATTTTAGAGCTCTCGGGGAACACGGCGCTCTTCGCCAAGTCGGCGGCCATGTTGGGGAACAGCGAGGACCACACGGCTCTGTCCCGGGCGCTGTCCCAGCTGGCCGAGGTGGAGGAGAAGATGGAGCAGCTGCACCAGGACCAAGCCACCGCCGACTTCTACTTCTTCTCCGAGCTGCTGGGCGACTACGTCCGCCTCATCGGCGCCGTCAAGGTCAGGGGGGGGGGGGGTCCAAGGTGATGCTCCACTGGCTCCTGTGCCCTATGTGTGAGGAGCGAACTCAGAGCGTGTGCGTGTGCCTGTGCCGGGCGTGTTTGACCCCCGGGTGAGGACTTGGCAGAAGCTGCAGGACTCTCAGAATCTCCTTCAGAAGAAACGAGAGCTGAAACCAAACTTCAGTTCAACAACAAAACCGAGAAAGTGCCGCAGGCCAAAGACGAGATGAGAGAGGTGAGACGGGGGGGCAGGGGGGACACCGGGGGACAGAGGGGACAGAGGGGACAGAGGGGACGGGGGACAGAGCTCCAGCTTCCCTGTCGTCGCTGTCGGATCCATCAAATTGAGTCCAAAGTGTTTGACGGTGAATTTAAAAGTATCGTCGTAGTTCGTGTTCACAGAACGGCTCGTTATGCTCGCAGGAAGCAGCCCCCCCTCTTCCCTCCCCTCCCTCACCCCCCCCGTAGGCCGCTGGTGTGTCCAGTCGAGGGAAACAAGCGCACCAGCTCAGTCATGTGAAAACTTTTTTTTCGGATTGTATATAAATCTTTTTTCTTTCAACACAAACTCAGTCGGACGAACGAGAGAAGAAAAGTAGTTTATTAGAGCTTCAGTCAAAGCTGACAGACACACACACACACACACACACACACACACACACAGAGACACACACAGAGACACACACACAGACACACACACACACACACAGAGTCACACACACACACACACACACACACACACACACACACAGAGTCACACACACACACACACACAGAGACACACACAGAGACACACACACACACACACGCACACACACACAGACACACACACACACACGCACACACAGAGTCACACACACACACACACGCACACGCACACACAGAGACACACACAGAGTGGTGGGGGGTCTTTTAGCGGAGCAGCTGTCAGTCGTGTGGGTTTTGGTGGGAGCTGTGAGGGGGGTGGGGGAGGAGGTGATGGAGGGGGGGGGTGATGGGGGAGGTGATGGAGAGGGGGGGCGAGGGGGTGATGGGGGGGTGAGGGGGGATCTGGGCTGTCAGAGGCCTCAGATGAGGACGGATCGCAGTAGAGTTACAACCAGCGTTTATTTGGAGTCTGTCAGCAGTCGTTTGTCTCCTTTTACTGAACACAACAACAACAACAACAGCAGCAGCAGCAGCAGCGCCCCCCGTACACACGTATGTGACGTGTAGCTGCAGCACCGTCTGAGGCTCCTTTAAGTCGTATTCATCATTAAATCAAATGATTCAATAAATATAAACAGGAGCTTCACGGACTCACAGCTGTATTTTGTTGTTGTTCTATTTTGCTTCACACAAGCAGCTTTAATGAAGCGACGATTCCACAGTTCAATCCATTAATTGAAAACTACAGTCAATTCTAATCATAACGTTTAAATTCTAATCATTAATCGCAGCGTATAAATGTTTACTAAATTATGCAAATGATGTCAGAGACGAGGCACAAATCAACATTCACATTAAACATCAATCCTTCATGTTTTATTCAGTCAGCTCAGCGGTGCGTTCAGGGTCTGTGGGAATATGGAGGCACGCCGCCCCCTGTGGGCCACAAACAGGAAGTGCAGACGCAGCAGATTGAATTCTGGGATCAGACATTTATCCTGCAACGTTTTAAGATAAATACAAACAATAATGTTTCCTTTAATTTGACAACTTGTAGAACCGATTAATGGAATAATCGTTATTACCCAGAATTCATCTCTGGTGGAAGAAAGATCATGAAGAGGAATTAAGTGGCAAAAATAGATATAAATAACACAAACATAAAGATGTAACTGCAGAGATATTATACGAATAATAAATGTAACTATTAGAGGTTTAAATGACCAAAGAGACTCGTCTGAAACCGCTGAGAAAGAACTGGAAACAAAACAATAAATGTAGATCTTTAAACAGACGGTGACACATGTATCTCTACACGCATGTACATATTGTACATGTATGATGTAGAGATATGTGATACCACATGCTTTGTTTCCTCTTCTCTGAATCTTTCATTTTGCTGCCTCCTTTAAATTCTGTTGCATTTTTCCCACAATGCCTTCCTGCAGCAGGAGATCGAGGAGGTGAGACCTGCTCCGCCTGTCTGTCCGTCCGTCTCTCTGCTTTGTTGTACTTTCATATCTGTTGCTTCTGTTTGATTTTTTACTTCTTTTCAGTCTCATGAATCATTTTGTTGCAGATTTTTTTAGATGACGCGACGGCGTTTCCGTGACAACCAGGGACTCCAACCTTAAACTCGTTGTGTCCGCCCAGCGAATGTCTTTAGTAACTTTATCATGATGAACTTCATCCTTTAATGGTCCACAAATGTTCAAACTAAATCTGCTCAATCAACCCTTTAATAATAACTCCATACTGACTCCTCTGGGATTTAGAACGTGAAGCGTCGTGACGATTCTAACATGAAGCTCTGTGTCTGTTCTTCTCCGTCTGTCCTCCAGCTGGAGACGAAGGTCCAGCTGGGCGAGAGAGACTTTGATCAAATCTCCAAGACAATCCGCAAAGAAGTCGGCCGGTTCGAGGTGAGGAGGACGCATCGCCATCGTCTTCATCGTCTTCATCGTCCTCATAGAATGTGTCTCATGCTTTGGTCTCTCAACAGAAAGAGCGAGTAAAGGACTTTAAAAGCATCGTCATCAAGTACCTGGAGTCACTGGTTCAGACACAACAGCAGGTAAAACATTCAGAACTATTAACACATAATAAAGTTGTTATATTTCTGAATTGAAATGTCAATGTTTTTTCTTCTAAAAGTTTGCCGTAATTCTGCATCTTTATTGACAAAAAGTGTGTTTTAAATGTAATGTCGCAATATTAATAAGAGCTGTTTACCTGTGAGAATCATTTCCCTTCTTGCCCCCCAGCTGATAAAATACTGGGACGCCTTCTTACCCGAAGCCAAGGCCATCTCATAGAGTCCCCTGGGACGGTCCTCCTACTACACTACCCACAATGCACTGCTCCGCCTCCCCTTCAACGTGCGAATCAGCTCTTCGAGAGAGGGGAACTCTGGAATTTATAGTTTGTCGTCTTTTATTTGCTGCTTCTTCTCTCCGGCGGAACTTGGTGTTGTGTTCAAGTCCCGTCAGTGATCTTAGCTTCCGCGATAATGCTGTACAACGCCTATACTCCTCGTACTATTTCCTGCTTTTTAAAATCCAAATTCTACTAAATGGAAAACTGACGACGTCCCTGCGATTTTTTTGTTCATAAAAATTTAACACAAAATCTTTTTACAAACCAAAAGCTCATATTCCCGTATGAATTGAACGCAGCACCAGGGCTGAAAGGTGTGGAATAATAAAAGACAAATACGGATGTTTATCAGATGAATTAATAGCTAATGTAAATCAATGTGCCATCAAAATTGGGGTTTAAATTCTGACAAATAGAAAATTCTGAAAATTGAAAAACGCTGAAAGCGGTGATTCATCATTTTTATTTTAGGGTTAAAAGTAGTTATTTTAGGCCACAGGAATCAGAATGTATCATTTAAACCGCCAAAGAAAGAATGAATAAATACACCGGTGATATTTAACAATCTGGTCAAAAGCTAAAAGTAGTTATCAAAGAGAAGCGTTTGTTAATTATAACGCCCATAACTACAGGCTGCTGTTCAAACACATTAATTATAAGCTCATATTCGCTCACAAAACACATACAATGTTCCTATAACTGCACATATTTTACACACCTTATAAATGCTTATCAGGAGAACTTATTCGTCGATCCCGACGTCTCAGTCTGCCGGTCATGAACGGTCTTCTAGTACTACGACTCCCATGAGCCTTAGCGGTTGAACTCCAGAGTTGCAGAATATCCCCAACGAACCCAAAGTGAAAAGTCGACTTCTTTTTTTTCATCTGAAAAAACTGAGCCACAAGAAGTCTGAAGCCACCTGATTGGATGTTGTGTTGCTGCATTGAACTCTGGGTATTTTAAGATAAAGATTAAAAAAAACTAGGTGATAAAAATACCTGCTCATCCATGAAGAATATCTTGGATTCGTCACGTTATGCTAACGGCGCTACATCCGCTCATGCTAACGTGTCAGAGGAGAACTTTAGTGAGTCTTGATCGTACGTGACGGCGACGTTTCCTTTTTGAGTCGAGGAGGAAGATTCTCGGTTTGTTCGACACTCACTGACCCGCTTTACCTTTGATGAGTCTACACGTGTAAACGTCCTGCGTGATTTTACACTGTGAGCCGCGACGAGCAGAAGAGACGTGATTCAGAGGTTCTGAGCCTCGTTTCCAGGACGTTTCAGTGATTCTCGTTAAAAACATCCTGTGAATGTAATGAACAAAAGCCGCCGCGTGAACGGACCCTCGGGAAGTGTCTTCCTCCACTTCGTGTCCGACAAAGAGAGACTTTGTTCACTTTACAACGAAGAAATCAAGCTCGTTGGCGCCTTTTAGCTTCGACGCTAACGGGCGCGTTTCCAGTGCGGAGTGACGTGATCGTCCGTCCGTCCGTCGGATGAGTTCCTCGTGTTACGTCCTGAACATTCAAATAGTTTTTCGTCTCTTATTAAATTGCGCTGCATTGATCACAACCTTTCTTTTTGTATTTTTTGTCATTCCACATTTTGGTGCCGCGCAATGAAGAGCGGTGGCACTTTCGGTTGATTTTTAAACATTTTTTAAACTTTCCCTTGATGATGAAATTCTTTCACCTTGTTTTGACATTCCTGCAGAGCAGAACTTTATTTACAATAAAGGAATGTGTGATTCATCTGTGATTTACTGTGTTTGAATTATTACACTATTATTACTGTACCTGTTATTGTTCATTATTATCTTGGCTCACTAACATTTAGAAATATATTAAAATAATAAAGAAATATAATACATTTTTTTCATTTACACTGATTACATTTTTCTGTGTGTGTGTGTGTGAGAAAGTGTCTCTCACGCTTCTTCCTTTTTTAATTCAAACATACTGTCAAACCTCAAAATGATAATCAGAGTGGACGATTCCGACTGTCAGGAGGCTTCACATCAGATACGCACACACAACACACGCAATGACACGCGCACACGCAATGACACGTG